AAGATTTTATAAAATAAATTTGACTTGACTCGACTCGAAAAAAATGAGTCGAATAGAGTTGGTCTTTAAACTCGACTCGACTCGACTCATTTGGAACTCTAGAAGTTACTTCTTATTTTCAATCTTTTTACGTCATATAGATCAAGTTTTTGAATAATATCACAATATTTATTTTCTTATTATTTTATATTAGATTTAACATTTTGCTTTCAGCTTATGAAAGGAATAAAAAGTTGCTTAGCTCAAAATAAAGAATATACTAAGCAATCTATAATAATAGGAAAGAATAAAAGGAAGTTTACAAGTAATTTATGAATAATTAAATGAAAAATTAGATAAGATTGATCAATTAATGATTTCTGAAAATTCCTATTGGAAGGTATTGTATGTCTTTATTTATAATTTTTTACATAATTTTAATTTACTTTTACTGTGTTTTTAGAATTTAGCATCAAAAATATGTAAGACTCAGCTATCTATACTTGGTATTTATCCAGAAGAAGTTGCATTCTAAAAGGCCTTTGAGACTATACTCAAATAAGAAAAACCTGACTATATTGAGAAATATAAACTTCAATGGATACATATATATGAAGAACGAATTAAACCTTTAATAATTATTAATTTATTTAGTAATATCAAATTCACAGTTCGTTTTTTAATAATTAATAAATAATTATAGTTAGCATTTCTATATTTAAAATTTTATTTTTATTTGGCTAATCAAATAATTATTATTTATGATAAATAATCATATTTAGTTACTATTTTTTAGTGTTATGACATAGTTAAAAGCTATTGATATTATAAAGCAAAGGATATACGTGTAGCTATATTTAATATTTTTAATAAAACTAGTTATCTCATATTAATATTACTGCTTCATCTGAGAATATTAGCATATTTAAACAATTAAGTAATACTAAAAAAACATTTAAATGCTTATTTGAAAGTGATGATTATGGTAATCTTCTATATATTTAAATGATAAGAAATAAAATATGAGACAAAAAGAAGATTATTGAAAAAGATACAAATTTTATTTTAATTGTATATGAAGTTATATCAAATCTAAAGCATCTAAAAATATCCATTGGTAATAGTGCTTTACGAAAAAGATTTGATGTTTATTTAGTATGTATTAATTTTTAATTAAAGTTTTTTTAGGACTATCTCTTTAATTCTAAAAAAATTTTAGCAAACATTACTAAATCTATTAGACTTAAAGAGCTTAAAAAAGAATTTGAACTAGATAATAGTACAGATAATAATGAAAGTGAAACTTGTGATATGATAGATGAACCTTTTACATATCAAGAATTAGATAATGATTTTGCATGTCAAGAACTTAATGATTAACAAGAATATAGAAAGAATTTCATTTATAACAAAAATAATAATATAATTAGTAAATATTATTAAATGTATATTAAAATTTTATTATTTTATTTAATTGCTATTTGCAAAGTAAATAAATTGATTATAAACTGCATATTACAATATATAAATAAAATAAATAAAATACATCTTTAAGGATTCTTTATTATGAAAATTTTAATCCTTAAGAATTCTTTATTATAAATTCTAAATCCTTAAAGCTTCTTTAAAATTTTTTTATTAAAAAATCCTTAGAGTAGAAGAAGATTCCTTAAGGATCTTCTCTATATATGAAAATTTTTGGAATCCTTAAAGATTTAATTATCAAAAAAATTATTAATGATTGTGAGTTTTTTTTATTAAAATATTTTAAGAGCCTGAGAATTTTCATACTTATATATAAATAAAAGTGATAATTTTTATTATCAGTATATTATAAGTAAGGAAGATAAATATATAATCTTTTAATTATTTTTCTGAATATATAGAGTTACTAGCGAAATGAATAGTGATACATTCTTTTACTATATAATTAATATTTTTTTATAAGGATTTGTATAAATAATTATATAGTATTTTATATATATTACTAGTCTAAATGCTATGTGTATTGTTTGAAGTTCGCAATTCATATTTTAATATGAAAAAATTTTTGCGATTGTGAAACAAGATCAAATTTGAGTGTTTAATCATTAAAATTAAGATTACAAAATATTTTACTATATTAACGAGTTTCACCCACTAATAAAAAAATATTCAGCTAAATATTTTATAATAGAAATAATATATTCTAACTAAAAAAGTAAGAAATAGAAAGTAATAAAGTTAAATTAATAAGAAGAAAGACTAACTTTCTAATTTTTTAGTATTTTAACTTATATTTAAATTCAGATTGACAGAGAAGGAGAATACTTTTTATATTTTAATTTTTTGAGTATATAATTTTTTAATCAAAAGTATTTGAGAATAAAAAAAATTTTAAAGGTTATTTATTAAAAACTATTATTATTCAAAAAAAAACTTTCTACCATTCTTTTCAAAAGAAACTATACTTATTTAATATTATATAATTGGATTTTATTTTTCAAAATAACTTTGTTTCATTGCAATTATAGATATCTTTTAAAATTATCATTTATTAAAGTTTAACAAAGATCTTCTCATATTATATCAAGATCTTAAAGTGATGTATTTGCAGCTTTACCATATGTTGTATTATTTAAATTATATTATTTTTTAAAGTTATCAATCCACCTATTGGAATTTTTGAATTTATTTTCTTTAAGTAAAAAAGCAAACTTTAAGATTTTAGTTAAAAGAATATTATTAGTTATAATAAGACCAATTTGAATGGCATTTTCTATTTAAATAGTTAATACTTTTTTGATATTAAGAAAAAGTGATTTTTTCATATTATAAACTAGGTTGATATAAATTAATATTTTTAGTAAGCCAACAGTCTTTTGCTTTTAAAATATTACAAATTATTATTGCACTAATATTAAACTTACTAGTTAAGTCTTTATTATTTGAAGTGAAGCATAAAACATTATACTTTAAGACATAGTGTGAAAATTAATATATTACGTGAGGATTTTTATTTGTTACAACGCCTCTAAAATTGATCAAATTAAAATAGTAATTATTAATTTGTATACTATTTAGTCATATAAGAAAATTTGAAAATTAGTATTTTTTTTCATATTATACTTTATTACTATATTATTAATGTTTAAACTATTTTTAAAATAATTTTAGTATAGGTATTAAAAAAGCTAAGCATTCTTCATCATCTATCCTTTTAGCTAACCTTTTACATTCCTTAATATGTTAAAATCTCTCAAAATTGAAGGACTTGAGGAAATCTTCAATAAATTGGACTTGAAATACTATTACAAATGAGAGATCAGCTATAAATTCTTTACTGCTAAGATCTATTATAGCTTTTTATAATGTGAGCCCTTGGCTTTTATGCACTATTATAGCCTATGTGAAATAAACAGGAATCTGTAAATATGAATATAATGTTTCAGATTTATCCTCCTAGATATGTCAAATAGATGCAATTGAGACAACGTTTGTATTCTCTAAGCTATTAATAGTGGGACCTCTATAATTATTAAAAGAAATGAGAACTACTACTGAAAAAGAAAGCGGTCCTTGATCTTCTCTGAATAAAAGATCCTAAATAGTTCCTATTGCAATATTAACTAATCTAACTTTTATCCACAAGTTTGTTTTCAGCATAATGTGTACATCTCTTGCAAGTAACAACTGTGCTATAAGACTATATATAATATCTGAGTTAGTTTTCTTAGCTTCGTTACCACCCATATGTATAGTGAGAATTTTAGCAACAGAAACATTTAAAAACCTGAGTTTATCCATATTGACAACATTAATATCAGACCATTTTGTTAGGATGAATAAGATGATTGAGAAGCTTTCATATTCTGTCTTACTTAGCTTCCTTTCAAATTATGTAATAAAAGTCTTCCAATCTTCTAAAGTAGAATCTCCATCACATAACCATAAGAGAAAATCTCTAAAATCTTATTGCTCTTTAATATCCCTAGATTGATACTGAATAACATCAAGTTTATATGCTTCTTTAAACTGCTTGTATATTACAAAATCATTATTAGACAGTAAATTTCATAAAATATTAATATATATAAGAAGATCACAAGCGCAAGCTGATTAAAATCTCCAAACAAGATAACTGATCTACTATCAAAGGGTTCATCATTGTATTCAGAAAAAGCTTGCTAAGGTTACATATCAATCAAACTAAGCATTTGACGATGAAACCGGCAGAAATTGACAGACCAGTCGTATATGACATATCTGCCAAAAAGGACAAACATAACTTTTATTATATT